CGCGGTGGATCGGCCCCCTTGTTATGTAAACATAGAGTAAAAGGGAAAGGAAGTTCTTAAAGGAACAGCTCTATTTTTTTTTTTTTTTTTCCTCCCTCGCTTCCTTCCCTAAACTTACAGCGCGGGGTCCTCAGCCTCGCCGCTGAGTTCTGCGGCGGGCAGCAAGCTGCTCAGGCTCCCGGAAGCGCAGCAGTCAGGGTTCCCAAGCGTAGCCTAGTTTTCTGAGTAAATAAAGAACTTCCTCTCGGGATATAAGAGCATTTGTTTTCCCGGTGTCACTGTGTAGCGGGATATATCTGGAAGTGTCGCACGCACGCACCTGGGTGCCTCCTTTTTCAAAATCAAGTCCTTCGAAGCTTGTAGACGTCTAGAAATTTGGAGGGCTTTGCCAACTGGTGCTGCATCAGAGGGAGTTTTGAAGGCACTCGGAGCACCCCGCCATTGTACGGGATGTAGATACCCGGTTTGTCGTCAGCAGATGTCCACATGGTTTTAAAAAAAAAAAAAAAAGTTTTTTTTTTAATCCATACTCTATCTACTTTTCCCATATCTTCTCTCAGTTCCTTAAGGAATTTAAGAGGAAATTACCGGAGTGAAGCTTTTAGTAAACATAAGTAAATGTTCCTTTACTATCATAATTTAGTCAATGCACTATGTTTGCTTTTTATACTTTTCCAGATAGTTGTTCCTATGGCTTCAAAATATTTTACAGTGTAATAGATCTACTGACTGCTGTTTTCATCATGCAGAATTTATTGTTACCATTTACTGAGCACTCAATACATGCTAGAAACTCTACATATTATTGCTAGTTACTGCCTCTCTAGGCTATTAAATATTTAAATAAATAAATACTGCAAAAGCTACCGTTCGTAAAACAGTGACTGGTTGGCTGTGACCCTAAGAAGGGCTAGGAAGAAAATAATTGCATCTGTGACTTTCCATCCCGCATTCAGCACCCTTTGTCTAACATTCTGACAGGTTATTACTGTAGTGACATGATGCTTCAGAAAATTTTACTTCGCTTAGTATCTGATTTTTAAAATTAAGGCTTTAGAAATAAATTATTCCAAAATAGCTAAAGCTACACCAATGGTGAACCCAAAACAAAATTTTAAACAGTTAACTTATTTCAGCTAAGGATAGAGATTTTGTCCTTCAGTTGAATACAGCTATTCTGCAAATTTTACCTATTCTATTTTTTGTACAGGTCCTTTTACAGTTTTCACCAAAAATTCTTCACTAAAGGGTTGAATACTTTCTCATGCCCAATGTCGTGCTGTAAATTTCTGCTCTATTAATGTTGTCCTCATCTATCTACTCTGTGCTCTTACTACATAGATGTGTGGGCTAGCAAAGATCTCTCAGACTCACACCAAAGTAATGCAGTTCCCCATTATTATAGTACCTGGCTCTGTCATTCTAACTTCTCTAGGCTTGTTCTGTTGCTGCTACTGCTCTCCAGGCTACAATTACTTCCTCCCTCCTTCTCTCTTGGCATGCTGTGCTTTTGTGCATTGCATTACACTGTTCTGGCTCCATTTCCTACTTGCTGTGCTCTGCATCTGCTCTTAGGAGGATGGAAACAAATATTTATTAACCTCCTACTAAGTTCCAAACACGAGGCTGAGAGTTTCACATAGGATGTCCCAGTCTTTGAAGGCCTTCCATTCTAGCTATCTGCCCATGGTGCCTCTGACCTCCAGAGGGGCATCTCTCTCTTTCTACTCTCTCAGCATGTCTTTGAGCATGTTTATAGTGCTCAATCAGGTCTGTCGTAATCAGAGTTGCTTACAGGAAGTGCTGCTTTGAATGAGTTTTTGTGTCAGTGGAGGCTTTTTATCCTAGGCAGCTTAGGGCTTACAGACCAGTTTTATACTCCGCTCTGAGAACTGAAATCCTCAGGAATTAATACGGGGGCCAGGAATCCAAAAGGGCAAATGGGCTGAGTGAAGACAGTGGCAAATTGGTAAGCCTGTGCCATCTTAACGGGGCATCTGCCACTCATATCCAGCTGATTCATTGCCATGTGACAATATTAGCTCCCTATTCCTAAATTTAATTATATTTCAAAAGCCCCAAATCCTGATTTTTTATGCCAAATCTCTCAATTTTTAACTGTTGTCAACTCATTCAAGTTTTGGGGGTTAGTTTTTTTAAACGCAGCATGGGACCATCAAAACCCTATCTATTTTCAAGATTGTGCTCAAGGTCCCCAAATTTACTTTCTCTGATTTCAAGGAAACATGTGAGTGAAGGTAAAAGAGCACATCTCATGTGAGATTAAATGGCGGGGCTGGGAGGAAGCAGAGTGGTGGGACATAAACTTGATTTTCTCAGAGAATCGGTGGTTTGTGTCCCTATGGAAGCCAGCTTGCACCTTTCTCTGCCCATCCCTTATTAGAGTTTTCTGCTCACAACTTAAGCCAATTAGAACATTACTCCCACTATCCCCAGCTTATATTAGGAATCTGATTGTAGCATGAATTTATCTCTTCTTGAATGTAATTGTTTTAGTTAGTAGCTCCAGGCTGGTGGGACAATCTGGCTGTGCCATCTGCCAACCCACTGAGAACCAGAGTGGGTTTGGCCGATCTGGCTGTCAGGGCAGACCCTCTCCTTCCCACTCTGCTCGCCATTCCTGTTCTGTCTCTCCTAAACCACTCTCCTGAAAAGGATGACCCACCCGTAGCAACACAGAGGGAGTTGATTCTAGTTCTTGGATGACCAGAGGCCATGTGTTTACTACACAAATAAATAATGTGAGGCTTTCTCTTGATTTCTCTTCCTGTTATTTCTACCTCCTTTAAGTTAGAATTAAAGATTTTGTGAAAAAGTTTGTTTAGTTATGCCTTAAATAAAATCAATCAATATACCTTGCAGTAGAATTAAGTCTAGAATTAAGTCTAATTTTTGGTTATTTTACATTCTATCGTACATGTTTATGCTTGCAAGAACTAAGAAGAAGATACTTTCAGAAATATATGTTTGGAAAACTGATCATCTTTTTCATGAAACCTATATCATATTTCACTTTTAAATTATACTTTTTTTTTTTCCTGATTGGAAGAGTAATCTGAGCTCTTTGTCAGAATTTTGGGAAAAGTGCAAAAAGGATTTTAAAGAATCTTATTTTAAATATCTATAGTCTCATTGCCCAGAAGTAACCCTATATAACATTTTTGTGTATTTCCTTCATCTTTATTGTTAATTTTTGACATAGTTGTGATAATACTGTATACAATTACCCTTTACAGTTTACCTCTTGTCACTGAAACTTCATAAACATTTTTGTTGCTTCATCATATGTATCAACTTTTATTAACCATTCCCTTCTTATGAAACATTTGAAAGATTTCTAATTTGGGGTCTTATAAATAATAAACATATTTATATTTGTTATTACTGCATGAGAACAGATTCCTACAAGCAACATTATTACATCAAAGGGCATAAATATTTTTAAGACCCTTTGATGCATATTTCCAAAGCATTTTTAAAAATGTTTGCTCCTGCCAACTTATACTGTAACTAGCAGTAAATGAGAAAGCCTGCCTCAGGGAACTCTCACAAGCATTTTTAAATCTTTACTAATTTGACAGGTGGTAATTTTATTTCCTTTTCTTTGATTGCTATTGTAAGATGCACTCACTTTTTTTTTTATTGTGGTAAAAGACACATAACATGAGATCTGCCTTTAATAAATTTTTAAGAGTACACTACAGTATTGTTAACTCTAAGTATAATATTGTACAGCAGATCTTTAGGACTTTTCATCATGTATGACTGAAACTTTATACTCATTAAACAGCAACTCCCCGTTTCTCCCTTTCCCCATTCCCCGGCACCCACCATTGTACCTTCTACTTCCATTAGTTTGATTACTTTAGATACCTCATGTAAGTGGAATCATACAGTATCTGTCCTTCTGTTTTCTTTAGCAAATTGTCCTCAAATTTCTTCCATATTATAGCACATGAAAAGATTTTCTTTTTATGGATGAATAACATTTCATTGCATGTATATGCCATGTCTTTTATCCAACCCTAAGTTTTGTTGATTTCTTTTTCTATTCCTTTTGAATTTTGTTTATGTCTGCTCTAATCTTTATTTCCTTTCTTTTGCTAACTTTGCACTTAGTTCATTCTTTTTCTAGTTCCTTGAGGTGTAGAGTTAGGTTATTTATTTGAGATCCTATATCTTTTATAATATTCCCTTTTTGACTTCTTCTTTGACCCATTGACTGTTCAAGAGCGTGGGTTTAATTTCTACATATGGTGTTTGTCAATTTTCTAATTTTCCTTGCTACTGGTTTCTAGTTTCATTCAATTGTGATCAGGGAAGATACTTGATATGATTTCAATCTTCTTAAATTTGCTAAGACTCATTTTGTGACCTAACATGTGATTTACGTGCACTTGAGGAAGGTGTGTATTCTGCTGATGTTGGGTGAATACATTCACCTTCTTTAACAGCCACATAGTCAGGTCACACTGAGCCTGTGATCAATAAAATTTTAGGGTTTTGTCAGATGAACTGCTTTTAAGCAGGGTCCATTTCACCAGGAATTAAGTGAACTATTAAATATTTATTCTTATTCTATTTCCAATTTGTAAAGTTTGAACAATTCAATGAGTTTTTCCTCATTATTTTTCTCATTCTTTTAAAGAGGCTTTAATTACTTTAATAGATATTACATACAGATGACAAGCAATTCAAATAATACAAACGAGTAAAAATTCTCTTAATCTGAATTTCATCCTGCCATTTTTCTCCCTAATGGAAACCACTGTTATCAATTTCTTGTGTATCTTTCCAGTGCTATTTTCTACATATGTGTATGTTTGTGTAAATAATCTTTAACAAAATACAGAAAAATGGCAGCACACTATACACTATATACACCATCCTATATCTAACTTTTTTCACTTAACAAGATCAGGAAAAGCTTCTTCAAGAAGGCCCTTGAGCAGATGACTGAATGATAACACAGAGTCACCTATGTGAGATTTGAGAGATTGACAATATTTCATCCAGAAGGTACAGCAAGTACAAACGCCCTAAGGTAGCAAAGAGCTTGGCACATATTAGGAAGAGAAAGGCCCCACGTTGCTGGAGCTTACTGAAGAAGCAGTAAAGAAGTATAAGATAAAATTGGAGTGGTAGGTAGGTGCCAGATCATACAGGGCATCAGGGTAATTATATGAACATTTGATTTTCTTTTCGTCGATGTTGGAAGTCACTGGAAAGTTGGGTATGGTTGTTGAAACAATAAAAAATAAACTCATGTAGCAATGTTACCTACATAGATATCATGAGATTGTAGAATGCTTTGCTGAAATCAAGATACACATTTGGGAAGCTACATGATAAATGGTTTTTGAATAAAATAATTCATTTTTACATTCTTATTCAAAGGCCAGAGTTACTGCAAACAGTGAAGGGAACTTATAGCAGTGAGGTAGTTCTGGAAGAGGGCCTCCCTACT